GTTTAGTTAAGACAAATCAAGTAATACATTATTAGTATTTCTATTGCTGTATGGAATATCAAGATCCTGCCTAAGGAAGAAAAACTGTAATACTTAACACATAAGAACACAATGCATTGCTGAGTACATTATTTTATATGGGCAATTTATCATAAGCTAGATAAAAGAAATTGCCTACTTAAAATAATACAGCATTACAAACAAGAAATTGAAATCTATTAAAGAATATAATAATGTGAATAAAGAAAGCCTTTATATAAATATTATACATGTGTGACTCACGTGAGCTTCAAAATAATACTTTTAAAACTTCTTAATAATTAACATTCACTCCCACCAGGTAAACTACTACAACCACCTTTTAATGGTTATTTAGTATTTAGAATCAAAGAGGATTTCAAATGTATATAAACATGTTTAACTCTGGTAAGACAGTAGCTAAAGCTCGGATGATTTATGGTATTCAAGCCCTACTGACATCCAGCAGATAAGTTTAAAAGTATCTGTGTAACAGAGAGTCTGGAAATGTTATGCAGAGAATAAATCAAATGGGGAAAGCAAAGGAAAGAAACAAATACAAATTAACAAATATTTACAGCAATTGTGTATTGTGTCTATTTACGAAACTCACCATCCTCTTTATTCTTTGCCGCTGGAGTTGAGGGGTGTCTATTGTTTCTACATCTGCACAGGACAAGGACATGTATTTTGATGTACCACCCAAATTCAGATAAAAATGTTAAAAATTGTGATATACTAAAACCCAATGCTGCATATGTCACTGACTATTCACTCCAAACAACATTTATAGGGGAGAAAAACTCCTACCAATTTGTACAAACATCTGTGGCAGTCCTTGATCTTCCAACATTTGGTTAGAAAAACAATGTCATATTGTAAGCACTACACCTGCATGAAAATACAGAAAACTTTACTTGAATATATATAAAGAAAGATGCATATATTTTTCAAATTTGTTATGGAAGAGTGAAATTCAGGATATTTCAGTCATTACAGTACCACATGAGTCAATTTGTGAAATATACTTATAAAACATTACTATTGTACAAACAAAAGTGACATAAGATAAAAAAGACAAACGAACGAGTGTTCAATTTACCCATGTTTTGGCTTACACCTTCTTCTAGATAAAGCATTTTACAAAACATCACTAGTGGCACTTGTCAGTACTAATGGAGTTATTGCTGGAATATGATTTATACAGAAGTAAGCCAAAACATTTCAAAAATAAAGTCGTTTGTTACAGATTAAGCCATTTTTACTTGTAGAATGACTTATTTACCCCAGTATTCATTATATTACATAAAAAATAATGCTAGAAAGCACCTAACTACAAGCATATGCTCAATAGAACATCATCCCAATTAATACTGTTTGAATGAAATACCTTTTTCCCAAAGGTATACAGATGTGAGGAGGGTGGGTGACCATCCAGAGTTAAATGTTTGGATTTCCTTGTAATTTTAAAAAATATGTTAACATACTTCTGGACGAGAATTAGCTTGAAATCCTGGAGAGTTCAGAAGTCAAGAAAAAATGCAACAAATAAGCTACAGTAATGTGCAAATCAAGAGAAATATCTCAAATGAGCAGAAATCTGCACAGAGAAAATGGTAGGAGTACTAATAGAAAGATATATTAGCTTCAGTCTTCAGTGGATAAACCATATGGGACAATCAAAAATTAGTTCAACTTCTGCAAATCTATCATCAATCAGTTTGAAAGTGAAAAACAGAAGAACAGAAGCTTTTCTACAAAAAGCTTGTTACAGTGAAGAAGGAAAATAACTTACCATTCAGGAGGAATAGACCAAGTCATGAAATCTTTGAACAAGAACACCAATACAGATAGGATGAACAGTGTACCCTGGAGGAGAGGATAGCATCACGAGCATGAGAAAGTTCTTAAAGAGTTGGAAGAGCTTGACAAAAAAAGTGGTAGTCATAAAAAAAGATACTGTTGAATGTGTGATAAAGACTAGACAAAGAAAAGTGACAAGAAGCTAAATGTGAAATAAGGCCTGGAAGAAAGCATTTTATTGAGAAGATTCCACAAATATCTCCAGCTTGGAAGGTAAAAATCCATAAAAAAATTCTGAAAGAAAATGTTTAACACTCAGATTCTGGATCCAAGAAATATACACACAATTTAAGAATACACACAAAGTCCAAAGATCCCAGGAAAAGACAGCAACAGATAAGTCATTTGAACTACCAAAAGGAAGGATACGGACAAAATGGATGCCAAGAAAAAGCCCTCAGAATAACTGGATAGGGGATAATTGCCTCCTACAAGCATTTGGTGTAGACAAAAAAAGTTAATTGGAAAAAAGAAACTTAAAGAAGTTATCTTTAAGTGAGGAACATAAAAAAGCTTCCCAAAAGAAACTGCAATAAAAAAAATTATCTTTAAACAGTGTAAGCCAGTTTGGCAATGTAAAGTGGAGGACAAATTCTCAGGTAAGGAGTTAGTGGTCCCCTATGAATTAAAGAAGAATACAGAGGAGAAAACAGAAGTGTGTAACATATTCATAATATGAGAAGTTTCATAGAAATCATCATTTCAAAAATCTTAAATATATCAAATTTTGTTTGCTGTAAAGCACAAAGCTACACAATGGCCTATCTGTGCTGTGCC